TTCCTAATTTACCCCTATGGGGAGTGTTGTCTTATTGTAGCCCAAAGGGCATTTGAGTACTTTTCATTTCTTTTGTTTAAAGACCTATATATAGTGATCTCATGCTTTGTAAAAGATTAATGAATATTTGAATGAAAATTTGTATTTTATTTCTACTTCTTCTTACATGAGAGCTTGAGAAGGGAGAGAGCTCAAGGGGAGCAAATCGCAAGGCCCACCAGTCGTTGGAAGAGTCCGCGGCTCGTGGTTAAATTATTCTATCGTCTCGTCGTGTTTTCCTCTATCTTCTTCCCCTCCACCACAAGAAAATCCCTTCAAAACCCTAATTGCCGCCGCCCCCTTGGAAGCCCGCGCCGGCCACTTCCACGGCCTCGGCCGGCCACCTTGTCGGCGACTTCCCCCACCCGTCCAACCCTTCCTTCCGCATGTTTCAAATTTGAAATTTGAATTTCAAATTTCAAATTCTTTCTTAATTTGGAAATCCAATTTAGGAAAGTTGCTTTGATGAATTCCAATTTCAAATTAAATTAAATTGGAGTCGTTATAATTTATTTCCACGTCATCACCCTAAATTGGAAACCACTTCCCTTTGATTTCCCCCTCTCTCCCTCTTAGCATGCTGCCGGCCCCTAGTGGTGATTATCCCCATTAATTGCTACTTAACTCCTCTTCCTTTTAAAAATCAAATTGATTTCAATTAATTTCCCCTCCCAAAATTTCAAATCCTGAAATTTATTTCAGGATTGGTTTGAAAACTCCCTCCCCTCCTCTCTCTTGAAACTGCCGGCCCCCTCTCCTTGTCTTCCCCATTAATTCCCCAATCAATGTCATAACTCTCTTGGATTTGAAATTCAAAATCCAAGACACTTCCCTCTCTTTTTAATCAAAACTGAAATTAACTTTCAGATTTTGATTAATCTACTACGCTCTCCATTAAACCTAATTTCTCCCAAACCCTAGCTCCCTCCCCCTTGCACCCGCCGGCCACACCCTCTCCCCTTGAGAATCCCGCCGGCCCCCCTTCCCCTTCTTCTTCCTCCTCCTTCAAACGCAAGGGCTCTCCCTCACCATCACGACTTTCTATTCTCCTCGGAGTTCTTTCTTACGCCAAGTATGCATGGCGGATCCCGAGTTTGAGTGGGGCCTTGTATTCAACGCCGACGGAAGCCTCAACATTCTACGATCTCTATTTTTCGACGTGGGATTTAAAGACGACGCCACCGTTGGAGAGTACTTGGAACGAGTTGTTCCGACCCTTGCTAGCGTCATCGACCGCCAACGTCTAAACTACGATTGGAGCATCAACAGTCGATCATTCCCGCCATCCTCGCCACCGTCAACCTTTCCGTGGTTCAAAGCCGTTGGGGTTGCCACCGTCCTCGTGGCATCGTTGGGTTTGCTAAAGACCTTCTCCCGCTAAGCCCTACTTGAGCGTGAGTGAGCAAGGTAACTCATTGCGAAATTTCTAAATATTAGTCGTGGGATTCTATTTTACTCCGCATTTGCTTTATTGTGATAATTTCAAGATCTTCCGCAAATGGTGCTCAAACTTCGAATTTGTAATTGCTTATCATAACAACTTTAACAATTGAGAATTCTTGAACCACACCTTACGATATTTTAATCTTAAATTAGTATACTTTGTGATTCGTTATAAATTTCACGTGCAATTCTTGATTGTATCACATCAAGATGATGTGAAACCAACATGCGCAGGAGCTCATTTAAGAAATTTTAGGAATAGTTGACAATGAATTACCCCGAGGGCATTTATGTCTTTTAGTTTTAGTTTCATGTTGGCCTATTTATAGGAGGCCTCGTGCATTGTATGAGGAATGTTGATGAATGAAAATTTTTCCTTATTGACCTCTTTGTGAGTTCATGGTGCTTCCTCTAGATCTCTTTGTGGAATATCACATTAATTGAATTTCAATTTGAATTTGAAATTCAAATTAATCCTAATTGTTAGTCCTCCTATTTGGAAACTTTTCTTTCTTACAAAATCTGAAATTTAATTCAGATTTTAATAAATCCTTTATTAGTGTTGTGGACCCCGCTCACTAATGACAATTATTCTCTTCCCTCTCTATATGTGGCCGGCCCCCTTTAATGGGCTCTTCTCTCTCTCCCAAATTACATTAAAAGCTCCACCAAATCAGCCCCTAATTATCTCCTCCATTAACACCCCTAGCCATTATGGAATTAATTTGAAAATTCAAATTAATCTCCCTCCAAAACCACTTGAAGCTGAAATTATTTTCAGTTTTCTAAATTCCTCCCTCTCCTCCTAGCTCACGGCTAAGCCTTCTCTCCAAACCGCCACCTCCACTTTTCTCCTCCCATCATTGCTGGCCGAGTTCCACCAAGAGAAGATTCTCCTACCGCCAAATACATCCACACCGCAAGGACATCTCATAGTCATGAATGGCCGATCCGGAGCGTGATTACGGCATTGCATACGATCATCAAGGCGACATTGACGTCATCCGATCGCCGTTCTTTGACGTTGGATTCAGCTTCGACCACACCGTTGAGGATTACTTGAATCGGATTCTTCCCCACCTTGTGGACATCCTCGACGAGCAACTTTCGACGGACAAGTGGATCATCAACGACCGAACACCTTCTTCTCTAAATCCGACTTCCTCCCCGGTGGCTAGCCCCCTCAGCATTACTTGTCTAATAGTGGCATCGTTGAGTTTGTGCGCCATCCTCTTCTGCTAACCGAGTGAATCCAAGAGTGAAAATGAGGGACTTCGAGGCGAAGGATCTATATCTTAAGCCTTGGATTTTTGTTAAGAGTCATTTGCCTTATTACTTATTGGATTAATTTTGTTTGTTTCATGTTACTTCTAAATGTAATTGATTGACATTTTTTAGTTCTTCCATGGAAGTTTCTTGCGATCTATCTTGAAAAGCATTTGTTTAAAATTAGCAACGCAAGTTCACAAGTATTAATTTCTAACAAGCAATTCTTGTCTATCGCATTTAGTTTCACATCACCCATGCTAATAGCAAGGCAACGGGGAAACTATTCATGTCTTAAAAAAGGAGGGGAGGGGAGGAAGAACAAATTAGATATTTAAATTTTCTAAATCTAACAAAATCTAAGAAAAACTTCGAGATGGTAAAGAGCTACAAAAATACTACAGAATGAATACCTTCTAGATGGATAATAAATTTTTTAATATTTTATTACTTTGTGTCATTGGCATATATTCTATTGACTGAAGCACAAAAGGTTTTGATTTTGCTTACTAGCAGAGCAAAGTCCAATAGGTACCAATCATACATATATTTTTGGTGTCATGGGAGGCACACATGCATTACTGCATTATTATTATTATTCCTGATAGGGAGGTAATTTATCCAAAACTCATACAGCTATTTTTTTTTGTTGAATCATTTTAATTCATTGTTGAGATATTACAAGCGCCTCATACATACCTTTCTAAGCTTAGTCAGAGTGATTCTATTACTTTATTTTTATGACATTTTATAAAGTGATAATTATGCTTCATTATATCATAATGCGCACATAGCCTCCATGTCACATCTACTTCTAACTCAATGCCATGATTATCTTTTTTGTACTAAAGAAAATGCTATGGCAATCTTACCTCCTTGACACCTCAAAAACTCAATATTTTTCTTCTCAAAAAGCCCATACCACCTCCTCCCCCTCTCTCTCCACCTTTATTAAGGTGATTGGGATCACATCTAACAAGAGAGATAACAAAGAGCAGAGATGGAATAACACGGATTATGATGGGGACATCAGATCATGGAAGGTTTATCAGAGGCGTGGCCGCCGATCTACGGCCACGATTGAGTTATTGTATTTTTGATTTATTTTATGTATTTTCTTATTTATGATATCGTTGTATTTGTTTTATTTAGTTTCCCGTTGTACCCTTTTATTAAGGGATGTTGTATGTAAGCCCTGAGGACATTGTCGTCTTTTCTATTTTTTTGAGTCTTATGTACGAGGCTATTTATAGCCTCTATGCTTCTCTTTGAAGGTTAATGAATGAATGCATGATAATTTTCTTCCCTTGATTTCTTTGTGAGATTGTATGAGCGCTTGAGAGAGAAATTCCTAAGTGAGGGAGATCGGATCACCCACCAACCTTGGAGACGGCCGGGTTCGTGGTTCCTTATCTCGTTTTCTCAATAATCCCTACTTCCTTTACCTAGCCGCCAGTCAAGGCCCTCCAAAACCCTTGCTGCCGGCCACTTAATGTTCCTCTACCACCGCCACTAAGCTCCTCTCCCTTGGCTAAACCCAAACCTTTTTCCCCTTGCTCACCCGACCCCTCCCCCACATCTTCACCCATGGTTTTCTCCCCCCCAAACCCGCCGGTCCTAGCCTCCTTAACCGCCGCTCCCATCACCTTCCCACTTCCCTTAGGATTCCTAATTTGGTTGAAGTTAATTTAGGATCAATTTGAAATTCAAATCAATCACATTTGAAATTCAAATTCTTTCCTAATTTAATTAAACTATTTTAGGAAAGTTCTTAATTTAAATCCATTTGAATTTGAAATTCAAATTGGATTTGATTTATTACTTTCCTAATTCCTAAAATCAAATTAAAAAGCTTTAATCTCTCCCATTAATTGCTCCCTAGCCCATTATTGCCGCCGGCCCCTATAGGGGAAATTTAGGATTTATTTCCTAAAACCCCTAACCCCCTCTTGGAAACAATTCTAAAACCCATCCCACCTCCTTTGGCTGAAATCTTCATAGCCTCCTCTTATTTACTTTCCAAATCCTATCAATTGGATTTGGAAATATTTCCCTTTTCACCTCCCTCTACCCGCCCTCTCTCTCCCTCTCTCTAATTCCCTCTCTACACATTAATACACCTTTCCTCTCTTGGGATTAAATTCAAATTTAA